CTCTCTCTTTCTCTCTCTCTTTCTCTCTCTTTTTCTCTCTCTTTTTCTCTCTTTCTCTCTCTCTTTCTCTCTTTCTCTCTCTTTCTCTTTCTTTCTCTTTCTCTCTCTCTTTCTCTCTCCTTCTCTCTCTTTCTCATCTATCTATCTATCTTTTTTATTACGAGGGGAACTGTGAAAATCTTTAAGAAGACGAAGAGGAGCCCGCACTCCCCAACAGTATGAGATTTTTACCCACTAAAACCACAAACCCTGGCGTGATCCAACCTGGAACCGGAATTATACATTACTTCAGGATGGTGCCAGCTGTATTACTTCAAGGTGCTATTCTGGTTTAGCAATGACTGGTTTGTTTCGTTTTCATTCTTCTTGAGAATGGCGGTGATATATCTCTCTATTGCTGTCCACTTCTCCTTGTTACAGATCATTAGTGTAACCACGTTTTCTGGTGAGACATTACACCCGACCTCCCATATCATGTGATTCCTTAACGTGTCCCATCTCGCGCAATGGAACAGCGTATGTTCGGCGTCGTCCACTTCATGGCTGCAGTTGAAACACACCGCGTCTTCTGTCTTTCTGAATCTTTTAAGCTATGCATTAAAACATCCATGCCTTGGAATGCCTGAGTTAAATGGTATGTCACGGACGGGTGTTTGAGGCTTATTCATTTGGTGTATTTGGGATGAGCCCATCTGCCGGTCTCCTCTCTGCCCCAGCGTTTCTGCCAGCGGTGCATCACTTTTCTTAGCTTTTTTTAATAGCGCTATCCGTATTCAGCAATGCTTGCAGCTGCAGGATAAGTAGACTGCTCCGTAGTACATTATTTTCTTTGATGGGCTCCTCCACAGTTCCAGAAGAGATTTCTCCCGTTGGGGCCGTTGCATCGTTTGACGATATGGTCATCCGTGACACCTGTAGCATCTGATCACCTCCTTCCGTACAGTGATAATGCAGTAGACCATATCTATTGCTATTTTCTGTTTCTGGAGAAGAACTGCGGCCAAGTTCTGCGAAAATTTGACTATTGCCGACTGTAGACCTGCGTACCCTTTCCTTAAGTAGCAGGCCATCTCCAGATCTGGTGCTCCCGTTTCTTTTCGGATGGCTTTCCTCACGCCATTTTCTGTGGAAAACTCCATTTTGTGAAAACTCTAATGACGATGGTCGACTGCTTGGTTAGGACCGCAACATCCGCTTTACCTTCTAGGGTTTCTTTGAGGTTTTTGTGGAATTCTTCTGTGTTTCCTTTCTCTTATAGGACGAATAGGTATTCCCATTTTCTCGTTTTCCTCACCATTTTAAAGTCAGATTTCTTTAAAGATGTCAACGTATGACGTGTCTACTTTAGCTGCACCTTGGGTGGCGTCGTTTTTATTTTATTTCATCTTTTTTGATTTCTTTCTGACTTCTTGCCAGTCTTCTTCTTGCTCGCTTTCCAGAGGGAGATTTTCATCTGGTTCGCTTCTTCCGTGTGCTCTGGGTTCATCTATTGTCCTTGTCTGGGATTCGGTAGGTTCCCTTCTCTGGCCATCCTCTCGAGGTGACTTTCTTTTCCTTTGGCCATGCTTATCTGTCTCTTTCGGCACGGTTTCTTGCCGTATGTTACCTATCTATCTATCTCAGCTGTTTCGCAGTTCACGTATCTCTGTGTGTGGGCGTTCGATATTTTACGCAAGAAATGTGATTTTTACGGTTTCGAGATTGACCACAATAATACACTTTTAATAGATTTTCAATATTTATGATGTGCTTTTTCATAGTACGTAGTATAGTTTTCTGGGAAATCATTGTCACCGATTTCCAAAATAAAAATTAACTCAGCTTAGGAACATAACCCTAACCGGCAACGTGAGAACGGTAAGTGAGCGTGCGCCCCCAATACAAGAATAAATGGCCATTGGTCACCCACCTATTTCATAATAACGTGTGTTTGTCAGTGTCGGTCATTTACGTCCCCTACAATGGCGCAGGACTAGTCAAAAGGAATGACAATGTACAATTTTTATGATTGCTCCTGACCAAATTTTGCGGTTAGATCCGAGAATTTACTATTATTCACATTATGACAATGATACAGCAATTATAAACTACGTAACATCTTGCTTAATGTCACGCATGAAAAAATATGTTTTTGGGGACACTAGAAATTTTACATTCGAAATCTTCTTCTGTTCTAAATAGGAAATTATTTTGAACGATTCGCTTTAAGAACTAGAGGACGATGTATACTCAATTGGTAACATTTCATAGCAGCTGTTACAATTGTATATGATACGTGGTACTCAAAATAATGTAACACGATCATTCTCAAACGATCGCCCTTCGCTACCCAACCGTCTGCTCTACGGGTAACTGAGTAAATGGTGTAACCGTCTAGGGAATGTAGGGAAGACTAACAGAACATCATTTTGCCACTGAACATTTGGTGGAAAATTTTCTATACCGAAGCTAAACATGTGAAAATTGACAATCCGTCATGTGGTCGTGTTCACAAGTAAAATAAATCGTTTTAACTGCGTCAAATCATGAGTCTACTTAGGGAAATCTTACCTATATGAATTCGTTAATTGAAATTTCCCACTACATGTACATTAGCAAAATATGACCATTGATCGCTCAAAACACCTTAGAAGTTTCTCACATTTATTCTGAGACCACTATGTACTCCTTGTCCTGGGCTACGGCTGCCACCGTGCCTCCGAGGCTCACTCATCGGGTGCTTGTGGTCGCATACATACCAATGCAGTTCCGAGGGCCGGCGCTGAAAGGCAGGTAAGCGTAAGGGTGGCGGCGGGCACACTCGTCCGCAGAGAAGCGATCCGGGTCGAACCTCTCCGGATCCGGGTACACATTCGGATTGTGATGCATTCCGAACGGTGTTAACATCATGCTCGTACCTTCTGGCAGCACGGCTTGGGCTGTGGATGAAAACACATCTATCAGTGATTTGTCTTCCATGCTAGTATTCTTATTTTTTGTACTAGAGCCCTATAACATATTGGCCTTAGATCTCCTCTTTGTGCTTTTCTGTCACGTAATTTAAGACCTTTTAGAAAGTGATGTATCAACATTTTAGTTTGTTTTAAACTTTTAAGTATCAAATATCAGCCCGGAAGTCGCTTCTCTATCTTGGTACCCAACATTGTATTCAAAGACGACGTTTCTCGTGTGTTAATCTGTCTCCAAAACCGCTGATTCCTATTTTGAACTACTATTCAATGTGAAGACTTTCCCTTTTCTGGAAAAGAGTTTCTGAAAATACTTCACGTTGGAAATGAACTCTTTGATTTTGCAAAGCTCGTGGCGAGAGGAAGAGATGGTTAGCCGTAAAACACACCCTGCCAGTTTGCGCAAAGTAAGCTATTTCTAGTAATTCACTCGTTGCTCTTTGATGTCAAGTGATGGCAAAAGTAATTTTCAAGTTTATTCCTTCAAATTATAAATACTTATTCAGTCACTTCGATAGTACGTTGTAGTTTTAGTTTAAAGTGAGTTGAAGCGCTGAATGTGTCCTTAACCACACCCGGAGAACAAGAAATTTAAATTTATTATCCGGATACGAAATCCGTGTCCGGAGGCGAAAATGCGTGTCAAAAAGCTAGGAAATTGATGTTTTTGAGACACCATTTCGTGACGCCGTCTTCCATTCCTGTGACGTCAACTATGTGCATGTATTCTCCGAGAAACTTATATCTATTATCTATGAATACCGTTGTTTTTTCACTGTCATTTGAATTCTTCAGTAATCGAAAAATTCCATTAAAAATATGAATTATTAGGAAATTTAAAAATAATTGTTATAACACTTCTCTATTACCCCAGCTTTTTTATATTTTTACATAAGTGGATCACGGATTAGAATGCAGATGACAGTACTAGACATTTGTTTTATATTCAATAATAATTAATTAGATATCTATTGGAAATAATGTTAGTTCCAGGGAATCGCTCACAATTTTGCTCGTCCTTTGGCGCTGAAGTAACCTCATTGACTTTAAAGTCAAGAATGTATCGGACCTGCGTAATTGAATTAGTGTATTTTTAAACAGCTAATGCCCACGAGTGCAGAGACATTGTATTAAAAAACATTGTTTATTTTCATAAAATACTTGTGTGACAAACTGACCATTGGCCACGCGTATAGAAATACCCGATGAGGCTCCGGCCTTCCGCGCAAGCTATTAACAGAAACAATCTTCGAGTCTGTCCAACGAATAATTTCACACGCGTTTCCAAAGGAACTCGCACACCGCCACCTTATGGATATAGAGTATAAGAGACTGGTTTTGTACCCGGCACCGCTCTAAAGATCTTTATAATGTATATTAAAGTCACCCAATTCAGCCCAATAGCCATATGGTTGGGAAAACCTGTAAAAACGTCCAGCTGTTAGGTTGGAAACATTTAAATAAACGAAGTACGCGTGTACGTAATATATTGTTGTTTAGCTTTACATACTTTTCATTTAACTCTTTCAAATATTTTTATCACTTATCTTTTCCTCCTTTTCGTGGTAACTCAAATATGATCAATATCATAGACTTATGTCCGCTCTCAATTATGGTCTAGTTTACTACAGTAAATCGTTTTTTACAACCCGTGCTGTTCATTAAAATTTACTAGATACTAAGCAATGGATGATGGCAATAATGACGCTGAATTTCAACATTTTCTATTCAGCTAATATTATTAACATATGCTTTTCCTATAATGGAAATTTGGACATGGAATATTTATGGAAATGCGTAAATAGACGTATACTCAGCATGCATGTGTAAATTATCACTACAGAAAATCTAATACCAACATTTCATGTTTATTATTTTTATGAACATTCTAGGATATTTCTTATGTACAATATTCGATAATGCAATGGACGATATATGTCTAAAAAACAGAAAATAACTCACATTCAGGAAGTACGACCTCTTGCTGCATATTTCGAAGGATTATAGGCACTGGTGGGTATAATCGGAGAGATTCCTTAATTACCATTTCCAAGTATTTCAGTTCTGAGAGATCGGAAATGTTCGGTGTTATAGACTTAGAAGTATCAAAGATGCTCTTCAGTTCTTCATATATTTTTTCCTGAAATAAGCATGAGAAAGAATTGAGAAGAACACACACGATTTGTCATGACAATTTGCACAAGCAAAACTCAAAAGTTTCATCTGCCCTCCATAATCAAACAATTTCAGACATACGTAATTGTTAGTGATGGGGTTACCCTTTACGAGTATACTGGATGTAGGGAAAAGTAGTTGTTCTATTCCACAGAGTTTACAATAGAGATTGAGATATCAAACAAGACCCTTTACTTACTAAATTTCTTACGTTCTCGCATTTACGTAAGGTTCAAGAGAGTATTGTAACTGTGCACCGGTAAACGGTAAATTTCGACAGAAAATCTCTCGGTTCCTGGTAACGAAATAGTGGTTTGATCTGGTTCCTATATGTTTTTTTATAGTAAATTACTTCAACACGTTCTGTAGTCAGAATCCTTATTGTTGTGGACTTTGATACCAAAAAATCGATTCACTGCAAATTGTCTCTCCATCTGTGGCCAATGCTAGCTCCTAAACCATTCAGCTGATTTTTCCCAAAATTAAATTTCCCCAATCGATCTGGTCGATGTCACAGTCCCTTGATTTTGAAACCGGTGTTTTAATATTGAGGTGTACTTTATATGAAGCCCTGGGAAATTTTTAAATTTAAATAGAAAATCTCCATGGATTTTGATGTAATTTTGTTGTTGGATAGTGTACAGAACGTTCAAGTGATTTGTTCAGTTCATTTTCGTTGAAAACTGATTTTTGGAAAATTGATAATTGTCCCGTAAGGAAATGATGCACGTTCCATTTTCGCTCAATTTCCCCATTTTTCAAAAATTTTTCAGGTCTTCTTACAAGAACAGTATTAAATATAAAGATTATCTTCCAGTAATATATGTTCTTTAAAGACATCTGTTCTTTAAATACGCGAGTATTGCCTCGTGCTGACCGAGGGAGAGGCGGCGGCTACTTTACTATATATCTAGCTATTTATCTCTCTCTCTCTCTCTCTCTGTATATATATA